GGGGGGGTACGAGCGCAATGCCTGCCTTTGTCCTTATCCTCCTCCCCGAGCCTCTAAAAGTGTCATTACCTGTGCTCCCCAACAGCACTTCACAAAGGAGCAAGCAGCAAAAGACAGGTTGTTGAGTGGGGGAGGGGGGGGGGCGGTAAGTACACCGCCATAGACAAAGTGCTAGTTAAGAAAGACTCGACAAAATCCCAAAACCTAAATTGAGCTGTGCCCCTACCACGTACAAGCACAGTAAAAAATATATCAAGTCGAGCTCTACGAAAGGGTTGCAGGCAGGGCAGGGTAAGGCAGGGAAGCGCGGGGCAGGGCAGGGCCGGCAGAGCCGGCAGAGCAGCTGACACCTCCGTGCTCACCTCAACCCTCCTTACAAGTCGCCCCCCTCCCCCGTCCCGGCGGCGCGGTGCAGCCCTCCCGTCTCGACCCCCTTTTGTGTCACGGGGTCAGCATACACGCTCAGCGCTTCCCACCGTACAGGCCGCGCAAAGAGCACCAGGCCGGCTGCCGGCGCAGGGAGAGCCCTCGCCCACCTTAAATATTTAGGTCCACACAAACTGCATGGTCCCCGCACCCTCCCCGCCGCGCCCTGGGGCCTGGGGCCACCACACATCGACCCATTGACACACCACCTGACTCACTACGGGCCTGACGGACTCGTCGTCCTCGCAGCGGAGCTGGCCGGCGTGCTCGTCACGGTGTCGGAGAGCCTCCTCCAGGACCATCCGCAGCACGTCGGGAGAGGGCTTGGCAGCTGGTGGCGGGGACCCCACGGCCGGCGCCGGCCGCTCCTCGGTCGTGGTGCACATGACGATGTGGGGCTCGAAGTCGCGAGAGCGCGCGCACACGATAAAGCACGGAGCCGTGGCCACACTGTGGCCACCGCACCTCGGCCTCTGCACGCGCCGACCGCCACAACAACACTACCGCGCCGACGCGACGCGCGACGCATGCATGCGCGGGACGCGGCGCGGGGACGCCCCCCTCCCTCCTCCAAGCACGGCCAGCCAGCCGTAGGCCAGCCGCCCCAACAAGGCGAGAGCCGAGCCGAGCCGAAGACGAGTAGAGTCGAGTCGAGCCGAGCCGAGCCGAGTCGAGCCGAGCCGAAGTGCCATGTTCTCGTTGTCGTGACGCGCGCGGCTAGCGCGGGCCGATGCGATCGTAAGTTGAGCGCGGCGTGGCGCCAGTCGTCACGTCACGCCGCGGACACATTGACGGACTGACTGTCGGGATGACTCGAAGGTACGTAGCGTGGCGCGCGTGAGTCAGGTGCAGCGTGTCTCATCATTTATCTGATCGGGCGGGGCGGGGCGAAGGGAGGCGGGGCCGTCCTGGGCGGCTGGGCATCCCCGTGACGACAGGGGCGCGTACTACGCCAGCCGTGTACAGTACTACTCCACACACTCCACACACCACACACGCACAGATACAAGGCGATGGAACACGGCGCCGCGCCCGCAGCCTCAGCTCCCCGCCGCGGCTCAATGACAACATGAATGATCTACCCCCCACCCCCCTGAGTGGTTATGAAGTTATGAATACGATGGCAGTGGATAACGTATAAAACCCAAACGCCGGTGTGCGCCCCAAGCCCTTGCTCCCGCCGCTCCCGTCCGCCACGAGGAGCGCGCCTGGCCGCGGATGCATAATGTAATCAGTCGCTCCGGCTCCAGCAGCTCCACGAGCTCCAGGCGCCACAAGGACGCGCGGCGAGTCTTTACGATCGCCAGGCCGAATTAATTACGGCGCTGCGAAGGGAAGGGCGTTGTCTCTCTCGTCGAGCAGGCGCAGCCTTTAGGCGCAGCGGCGACGAGTCGCTCGGCGCGTCCTGCGTCGGACGCGGGGCGGGCGTGCGATAGCGTGCGGCCGGGGGGTGCCAGAGCCAGAAGCTCAACTGACCGGTGGGCGATCTGGCACAGTCGCATCATTGAAAAGCAGGAGCGCGATTTAGGCAGGTACTACCTCTCCACGGAATTGGGCTGAACATGAAGGCGAATCAATGGCGTCTACACGGCGACGGCAGGCCAAGGTGAGGCGGGGAATGGGCTCTCGGCACGCACCGCCCGGCGCGGCTCCAGCTACCCTTCCTCTTTCCTTCCCGCTTCCTTCCTTCCTTCCTGCGGCGAGCCTCGGATCGGACGGCCCCGTGGCCCCGCGGGAGGGAGGAGAAATGCCTCCGCGCCACGCCGAGCCACGCCGAGCCACGCCGAGCCACGCCGAGCCACGCCACGCCCAACAGCTAAACAAAACGAGAGCGTCACGCACGCGCTGGGCGTCGATGGGGTGGATTTAACTACTGTGCTCCCTACCCTACTGGGGCCCGGTAGGCAGGTGCAGCAGCGAGGCAGGGCCGCGAGCAAGAACCGAAATACGGTCGCCTCACTCCGACCGTCACCGGCTGACGGTCGGAGTGAGAGAGGCAGCATCACACGGGCCAGCGGACGGTCAGCGCTGCGAGCCGACCGCCCATAAGAAACTGCTGGTGGACGGTCGCAGCCCGGGCGGTTGGCCCGGCCGGCCGGCAGCGACCGTGCGTGCGAGCAGCGCGCGCAGCGACCGTCTGGCTCCCGGACGGTTGCGGACGGTCGAAAGCTGCCTCTTTTTCGGTTCTTGGCCGCGAGCGCCGATATCAAAGTGTGGAAACATTTTATGGAATTAGTCCCGAAAATCCAAAATTTGCTGTCTCAGTTTTGGCAGAGTGATACATTTAAAACTGAAACCAACAAGAAATGACACGTCACTTTAAATCGTCAGCATGCTTCTACTGTCAAAGTGACAGTTCCCCCGACCGGTCCTCGAAGCTCCCCCATTAGATTTTCGTAAATCTCACGGACGTAGCTACAACAAAGAAAGCTAATTCAAATCAAAGAAAACATTCTAGCATGTCTATCTATATGAATGGAAATTTCCGATGGAATAAGGGGATTACCGTTAGTTCAATGGAACTATTTTCTGTGTAGAAGGCTGTACAATTCAAGTTTGGCCCCGCCCAGCGGCGTTAGCTGCGCCCAGCTGCGCCCCGATTGCTGTCCTGTAGTGCGAGAGGTGTGAGCCGGCCGTGTGTCGGTGTGTAGCACTATCGGGTATCACACAGACAACACGACTCGGTGCACTCGCGGCGTTGTCAAGGAAACACAGAGTCGCTGCCAGCCCGACCTGCACTACTACACACACATACCAACACGCTGCGAACAGGCAAAGCAAAGCAGCCGTCGCGTGACAGTGACAAAAAAGTGCGATAGTGCACTCAGAAAGCCGTCATGGTTCAATAACAAAATTCTCTGAAATGAGTAAAGAGCATTTCGCACTTCATTTGAGAGCAATTTCTCTGGTACCGAGACAAAAACGCTTCACTCAAGTACCAAATGGACTTGTGCCCTAGTACTTGAAGTATGTTGCAGCCTGTCCAGTCCAGTTGCGGTGTCGATACGTCAGAGCAGGGCTGAGCCGACGAGCCCCCCGCGCTCTGGCCGCGACACGCGTTTGATATCGACCGGCGCAAGGCCCTGCAGGAGGCCCGGCCAGGCCGCAGCCGGCCCGCTCGGCACGCTCGCGTGAGCCGCACGCCGATTGATCGGCCGCGTGCCCGAGGCGCCCAGTGCACTCCGGCCGGCCCCGCACTACTGCCCGTGCAGTACTGCCCCACTGGGCGGGGCGGGCAGCTTTACCCGCATTACAGGAACAACACGGGAGTCACGACTAATGAGAGCTGGGCGCAGCTGCATGGGACGTCATGAGCAGGCCGAGGTGCAACGGGGTGACGTGGAGGAGGTGCCTGTGTGAGCGAGTGAGGCAGGGAGTGAGTGAGGCAGGGAGCGAATGAGGAAGGGAGCGAGTAAGGTAGGGGGCGAGAGAGAGGCACGGAGCGATAGAGAGGCAGAGAGCGAAGGGAGCGATAGAGAGGCAGTGAGCGAGTGAGGAAGGGATAGAGTGAGGCAGGGAGCGAGTGAGGCAGGGAGCGAGTGATGAAGGGAGCGAGAGAGAGGCAGGGAGCGAGAGAGAGGCAGGGAGCGAGTGAGAAGTGAGCACACGAATTGGCTGGGCTCGTCTCCTGCCTGATTGTCCGTCCGTCGTGAAGGAGTCGAGACACGACATCGACTCGACACTGGGACAAGACACGATACGAGGCGCGGGCTGCGGAGCCATGCCATGGGCCGACACTCGTCTCACCACCCCTTGGCCTTTATCAGGAGGCGATCCATGACCCCCCCCCCTCCTCCCCCTCCCCGGGCCCTTGTAGTGCAGCCCCGGCCCACACTGCACTCTACCCGGGGCGTTCACACCGTATCGACCACCGCGCACTCCACTACATACTTCCTGGTCGGGGACCTCTGCAGAGAGCCGCACCGCAGTAGGGCCGAACCGAACAGAATGCCTTGAAATGCTTTGGTCAAAACCTCGTACTTTCGCGGCCGGCGTGAACGTCCAAAGCGCTGACGGTGAGACGGTGTGACTTTTCGTGTGGCGAGGCACGGCAACGACTGCACACTCGTCGTTGCTACGACAGTGCAGCAGTGCATATCCTGGGGGTTGAAGACACCAGCAAAGGCGTGACCACATCGTGGTTGCACCGCAGTGAATGCGTTGGAGGTGAGGTCGGGCCGTAGGTCGCGGATGTCAGACAGCGACTACACCTTCACCTCAACGAGCGTCTCCTTGCCGGACCACGTCACACAGGCGGCGGGGGCGGAGGCGGTGAGGACATCGGCAGCCGTCCTCTTGGAGTGCAAGGCCGGCTCCGCCGCTGCTGCTGTCGCCACCGCTGCTGCAGCCCGAGGGCGCGGGCGCCGCCGTCGACGACGTCGGCGCTGGCGGCCGTCGCCGGCGTGCACCGCGGGGGCAGGCATGTTCGTCAGGGGCAGCGCGGGCCGCACTGACCGCGGGCCGCGTGCCGCGACCCACCCTCTCCACGCGAGGGGCGCCCCCTCCAGGCGCGGCCCTCAGGCCTCCGGGGCGCGGCGGGCGGGCGGGCGGACATGTTCCGTGCCGGCAACCTGCCCCCTTCCCCTCATGATAATTGCCGATAAACGGCATAGAAAAGAGCCCGAGAAACAGCCGAGCCGAGGGATCCCCGAGGGGTACCCCACCCACCAACTCGTTCAACACTTACTGCCGCGAAAACTCGCGAAATCTCTCTTCAAAATCGCTTTACCAAACCGTTGTGACCTATTTTGAGAGTGGAGGGCCCCTCGAGAGTACCCCAAACCCTCATACATACAGCAATGATGTACACACGAGTATTTCAATCGTCGAGTATTGGCAAGTCGTCGTAGGAACGAGTAATTGTGGGTAAATGCAAGTACAGTAGAAGTGAGAGAGGGCGAGTACCGGTCAGTATAGGCGAGTAATGGAAGGGAAGTAATTGCGAGTAATAGCTAAACATTTTAACTGATTTCTTCCGCAGCTCACGTCAGCAGCAGGGACATTGGCGAGTGGGAGA